GGCTGATCCCGCGCCTTCTGGACCGCCTACAGTTTTCAGTCTTGGCGGTGATTCTGGTGGTTCCGGAGCGCACGAGCGCGTCCTGGTTTCCCTGCCTCCAGCGGTTGCTGTCACGAGGGTTTTAGTGTCAGGACGGTGTTCGCTCACCCCCTGGTGAAGCGTTTCCTGGAAGGGGTCTTACACACGCAAACCCATGCCCCTTTTGAGCCTTAGAGACGGCAGACCTGAAGTTTCTTTCGGCCAAGGTTGCCTTACTTGTCACCTGACATCGGCCAGGACGGTCAGCGATCTGTCTGCCCTCTCTACAGCTCCGTCGTGTCTCAGGATTCAGGGTGACGGCAGCTCGGCTGTCCTGTGCCCCAATCCTGCATTCATGCTTAAGAGTTTCTCCAAATCCTTTCAGTTGCCTGTGATTACTCTCTCGGGCTTCTTTCCTCCCCCCCATGGGTCTGAGGATGATGCTACATCCCACCTCCTTTGCCCAGTGCGTGTGCTGTTACTTGGCGCGTATTGGCCGCCTGGTGCCGTTCGCAGTGCCTGTTTATGCACTACAGGGAGCAGTACAAGGGACTTCCCCTGTCGGCGCAGTGCCTGTCTGTGCGAGGCTATTTCACTCTTTCGTCCGTTTCTACCTGTGGTATGTCTCCTGTTTCTCGCTGTCTTACTCAGTACTGAGTGATTTTCCCTTGTGAGTGTGCGGTGCACCCTCTCCCATGGGACGGTGGGGGGGAGCTCGCGCCGGCCCTGCTCTGTGCGCAGCTGATGCGGTCACTGTCGTGACTCCGCCTGCTTCTATGCAGCTGCTGGGCCACCTATCCGCAGGCGCACGGAGGGGTAAACCCAATAGCGATAGCCTTAGAGAGCTGTGCCTATACTTATAGAATCTGGAGTTACAGTACGTAACTACTGTTTCTTTTATTTCCTGTACCTCTTGTTCTCCTTCTAACCCATTTCAATTTGTTTTCCTCCCTTCCTCTCCCCTGGCTTTCTTTCTACTCCCTCACTTTACTTTTCATTATCTATTTTTACTGTGTCTCTCCACTTTGTCATGTTTTGTGCCTTCTCCGCCTTTCTCCTCTTCTATTCTCCCTTCTCTTCCTTTGCTCTTCCTCTCCCATTCTTCCCTCCTCTCTCCCTTCCCCACTTTACTGCACTTCCTTACACACACACACACACACACACACACATGCGCACACGCATACGCACACACACACGCACGCACAAACACCTTGACCTCAACTCCCTCCCTCATTCTCCCACAGGCCAGCTTTGTTTCTCAGTATTAATTGGCCCAGTCTTCCTTCTACTTCATTGGTCCATTAATAAATTATTTTAAGGCTGAGAGGTTAGAGGAGCTACAGGTCAGGGAAATCAAGAAACTATAGCACACAAACACATAAGCAGGCCTACAAACTCCAAATACATTGCACACATGAATAGCCTGCTAACCTTTTTATTTAAATGTAGAATGCTGAATGGGCAATAACAATAAATTTCACTCAACTTAACTTGAATACATTTACAGTTGTTAATTCCTTGCACACATCGTCGAACCAAAAAAATACAGAAATAAATAAATCACGTTACTCCTGTAGCCTTATTTATTTAAAGCTGCATTAACCAATTTAAATGCCAAGGTAAACTCACAGAAACAAAGCCCTGTCGTATTATCGGCCCAACCACTTGTAATGGCTACGCTACTACAGCTACCAGGCATAACAACAACCTGCTTCTAGCAAACACAGAGCAACATCAGGAACCTATTGGAGTTTTGTTTCTCACCACATTACCAATGTAAATGTTCACTTACATTTTAATTGTGGTGTGGTCCAAAAAGTGACCACATTATAGCAGTCACACTTTATTTTGTCTCTCTGCTGTTTTATGTCTTGCAGGTAGCGTACAGCCTTTGTTAGAGAGATTAGATGTAAGTGACTGCTGTGGTTTTATATAAAGGGATTGATGAGAGCAGTGAGATGCAACCATACAGCACAGAAAACCAAAACAATGAACTCCATTAATTTTTTTTCTCAGCTTTCAATGTTGGCATAAACAAATATTGTAAAATGCAAGCTCCAGTTTTTCTCACTGGCAAACCCCACTGTTTCACTTCCTGCCCATGGTATTCACTTTGAAATAGGCAGCCTTTTTCAAATCTCATGTCCATGGTTGTTCATATTTTGCTGTAATTGTACAGTTAACTCAGCAATGTACCAATTTCCTGGTTCCAGTAGGAAGATAATTAAAAGAAGACATCTAAAACTTTGAACTTCAAAAAGTAAATACAAAATGTATATATTTAATGGGTTCATTGCTGGAGATGTGTAACAGACCATGCAGCGTTGCACAGTTTTAGAGTTTCTGTTGAGTAAGAAATAAAGTATGAGGTGGAATTGTAGAATGTTGTCTTTTGTAACGTCCAGTGTAGCACACAGCTGCACCCTGCTCCACTTACGTTTTTTTATTCATATTGTTTTTCTTTTGTTCTCTATCTTCAATACCAAGTGTATTATACTGCCACTCCTAAGACTTTCAGTGGATTTGCTTATTTATTCCCCTATTCCCATCCTGGTTTGGACACTAACAGTGTGTGTCTGAGTATGTTGTATGTGAAGACAGAGACGTTGCCCACAGCTCTATCAGCTCAGGCTGTACTGAGACACGGTATCATTACAAAGTCCACAGTACAGCCTGAAACAAAACCAACCCACTAGGAATTCGCCCAATCCTTCTAATAACCAATCTGTCACTGCTGATCACTGTAATACATTCTGCACCAACATCCTGTCACAACAGCAAATACATTTAGAATTAAAAAATGCCTTTAACTCATCTACACATTGTGATTGCCCTGAAGTGACACTCTGGGCAAGATGTTAGTTCAGTTATAAAGCCAGTTATTGTTCTTCATGATGTTCAATAAAGTATAAAGTTCATGTTATGATTTCATAGGATATCTTTACCATACTCTATAATATTCTATTTATCAAGACACAAGTGTGGCAGAAATTGTGAAGGAAGAAAGAAAGAAAAAAGTAAAATTTGTTATTCTACCAGTGGTGGAAGAAGTAATCAATTTTCAAACTTAAGTAAAAGTACAAATACCACACGAAAAATGTTACTCAAGTAAAGGTAAAAGTCATCCAAGATAATACTACTCAAGTAAAAAAGTTCCTGGTTTTAAAAGTGCAAGTCTGTGGGACTTGCTAAAGACATCTGGACATCGGTCCGTGCTGGTACTGGCTGAGGCTGGATGTGGATAAATTGTGTTTGTACTGGCTGACAATCCCACATCTACCCTACTGAAAAACTTAAGCCCCTGTAAACCTGCTACAGGTTTATGCTGCAGACCTGACCTATACTCCCCTGTGACTGTCTGAGGTGGTAGGCAAGCCTTTAATACCAGACAAACATATTGATTGATTGACAAATTGATTGATTACTGCAGCCGTGACCTTTTTCCTGAAAAGACTGAATGAGGCAGTGCGTGTAGAGTAAATAAGGAAACCATTGGGTATCTTTGTTGCTGAATCATGAACTAAAATGGAGCCAGATGCTGGCAAGCAGCAGTATGGTTGTGGGGCAGAGGATGAGAACTTTTCTTTATTTTGGTTCCAGGCCACAAATGCTAAACAAGTCCTGATGTACAGTACCCCACTGTGTCAGACATGTTTTTAGACTAAGAAAAACCTACAAATCTCATGCAGCTACACATGCAATACACTAGTACTTCCTTAATGATTCTCTTGTGATTCTGGAAAAACTTAAAACAATACAGATTCCGCATCAAAATTTTTATTTAAGCACTGTCTTGCTGTTCCAGGTTCTGCTGTACAGAGATGACTTTGCTTTCAAGCCTCTGCTGTATTTGCTGTGTTCCTCTGTGGATGATACCATTTCCAATTTATTAAGACATGCTTTGTTTGAGAGGGTCTACAAATTAAAGTGCCGGATGTTGTCCCCCCCCCTCGCTCCACCCTCCATCTTTGTGTGTCTTTACACAGCAGAGTGTTGCAGTGAGCATGACTTTGTCTCTGAACCTCTAATATACAGCCTAGGCCCTCTGTGCTCTCCACTGTGTGTGTGTGTGTGTGTGTGTGTGTGTGTGTGTGTGTGTGTGTTCTGTTGTAGTCCTCTCTACGCTGCCAAAGAAACTCAGCCCAACTGAGTTCTTTCAATTCATTAGCTCCCCACCAACGTACCCTGCTAAAACAAGCAGAAGTGTTGGTTGTTTACTGTGTGACAATACACAACAGATTTAATAAACAATCTGATTCAGCAAATAAGCATTCCATCTTTGCTATTCTGTTTATGCTCGTTGTTCACACTTTATGAACTGGTTGTTGAACCCGTGGAACCATTTAGGAAAATTTTGTTGTAAATGTGTTTTTATTTTTCTCTTCCACTCTTGCAATATTACTATTTAGGTACAGCCATGCTAGCAGCTGTGGTGCTGTATCAAAGCAGTGCTTTCAGGTAAAATCTCTTAAGGCTAACATGCTCACAAATATGTGGTAACATGTTGATGTTAAGCAGGTAAACGTTGAAACGAAATGTTCACCATCTCATTTTAGCTTGTTAGCATGCTAGCATTTTCAAATTAGCACTTAACACAAAGTGCAACAGGGGCTAATGGGAATGTCACTGGCATTAATTTGGTCATAACCCCAAACTTTAGATATTCCAATCCATCTAGTAAATGTAGAGATTTTTCTGGTTAAGTATGCCAGACAGACTTACTGCCATCCCTAGAGCCACACCTCTAGTGTGGATAAAAACAATGAAACAAAACCCATTTTGGACATTGTGCTCTGTTTACAACAGAGGCTTACCTTGAAGGGGATATGAAATGTCCATGTTTTGGCACTGGTAGTAGCTACATATATTAGAAAAATCACCTTGCATTAAAATTTATTTTAAAAAGTTGTTAAAACCACAGATATGACAAAATTATTTTCGTAATTTCTAGCCATCTAGCAAGTGAATCGCCATTTTGGAGTGACATCACAGCCTACGTAACGGGGTTGGTTGGTTCCGTTGGTGAGTGAAGAGAGTGAAGCGTTCCTGGACCGGACTGAATACGCACTTGATTTGAAATGGAGGAAGACAAACTTGAAAGACCTTTTGAGCCCGTGTCTCCCATTGACCATTTGAGCCGATATGGCGTGGAAACAGAGCAGTGGTACGTTGCTATGTCGAACAACCGGTGGTGGTTTGGGGCGAAGAGCGGGTTGGCAACGCTACCTGGTGTCAGTGTGGCTGTTGTACTGCGATGCCCACCATGTCAGAGTCCATCTGCTGTCAAGAGGCTGATCTTGACCATGTATTGCGTGGTCAATCCTGCATCACCATGGTGCCCACATTTACCATGCTGTGCCGGGAGGTAGATGTGTTGGAGGTGGCAATGCTTTCCTTGAAGGATGTCAGAGCGGAGACACTGGAGCGTCCCATCAACAGCTGGTAAGTCAAGCTAGCTTTAACCGCCGCTGAGTGGACCGATAAGGTTAACTGTGTGCAATACAACAAATACATGTTACACGGTGTTGACAAGAGACAGCAATATGATGGCAGACATCGCGAACAATGTTTCCATGTGTAGTTTGTTAACATATAACCTTAGACGTCGTCTTTTTGTCTGGTAACGTTACTAATAAACTTCACTAGCTAAACACTAAGTTAGCGTTAGCTAGTTCATGCTTACAGATGTTAGCTAACAATGACTGTACCTAACGTTAGTTGTTCGCTGGTTCGACCAGCTTACATGCATCTTGTTAACGAGCCAGTGTGATGCAAACATGTATGAGAGGTTTAACATGATTATATGATGGTAGATGAACTATTTTATGCATAGTTTGTTTACATCACGTTGTGCAGCATGTTATGAAAACAACGTTTGGGATACCGCGGTCAAAACACCGTGGTGTTGTTGACAGTTTGATGTCGGAATATTCCTACATTCGGCCAGGTTTATTGTCAATAACTTTTGATTGAGATCATCACTACACAGCAGCCATATTCTGTAATCTGACAGAAATTATTCACACTCTTGTAATTGATAGCAGATACAAATAATACATAATTTAATGTGCTAGATTACATTACCAACGTCATTCTGCAGTGCTAAACCCACTGGGGGTTTGGGAGTTGACCTCTGGGATGACATAGGCCTTCTGTATGTTGAACCACTGTCTTTTTGAGATGGTTTCCAGGCCAATGGTGTCGCACACCTCCATGAATGGACTGCATTCATTTCCAGTGACAAATACAGCAGCAGGGACAGAAACATTGCATTCCATAATTCCTCTAACTAAAGGCTGAGAATGCCACATATAGTCATGGCCATCAATGCATTCTGTATTCATCCTAAGCCCAAATCCACTTTTGGAGACTGTCGGTGCCCTCACCAAACATTTGCCACAGCCTTCCCAATGACACACATGAAAGAGCTTGGGATTGGGATTATCTTGACTCTCTTCCATTAAACTTTCTACCTCAGACTCTTCACAGCCCTCACTGCTAAGGTCCAGATCTTGCTGAGATGACAGTGCCGTAGCTGGGGAGAGACCTTCCACAGAAGTACAATATGAATGGTAATTTTGTAATATGTGGTTGTTAACTATGTCATCCGTCAAAGTGCCTGTGCAAATGTACTGCTTATTGCCTCCCTCTTCTGTATCCTGTTCAAGTGGATCAGTCTGGGTGCTGAAACTGACTGTCGAGAGGGTGTGGACACTGCCTGTCTCCTGGTCTATCTCCTTACAGATGTCAGCTTCTGGGAAATTGCTGCTGGCCACCAGACGCATGCATGGCTGCCTAACCTGTAAACACATTTACTGTTTTTAGGTACCCAACTGATATTGACAGCCTTATCATGGAATACTTTGTACTTACATCCTGAGTATAGGTTTAAAGCATATAAAAGAATCTTATACTGAAACACTGTTTCTTGTGTTATTCATTCATTAACCATGTATAGACGTTTTGTTGCAGTGGTGGTTGGGGGTAATTATTTTTGGTTCAATGTCCATACCTGTTATGGTCTGTAGTGTTGGTTCAATCAGTGAAAGTGAGTTTTATTTGGTGTTTTATTAACATAAGAGTAACGTGAGTAACAGTAGGGAATGTTTGTTACACTTCTGAGGGATGTTAAAAAAAAAAAGATGTGTGTGTGTATATATATATATATATGTTTATTTTTTTTCTCACTAGTGCCCATTATTTCTCCCCTGGTGAGAGATTTATTTGTGATGATCAAATGTACAAAACTGTAACGTTAATTGTAACATCTATGGACAATCATGCAACTTACTACATGAGTAATCTGACTTTAACTAATGTTATAGCATATTAACTATTAACATTTAACAACTATTAACATTAATGTCAAAGAGTATATTACAGTCATGTTATAGTCATATTTATATCGTCACAGTGTGTGTGTGTATGTATACATATGGGTTGGGAGGGGTAACGTGTTTATGAATGCTGCTGTTTGGACCGAGAGAGACGCTCATAATGATCAGCTACGTTTCTATAATAGATGTTGGTGAATATTTTTTTTATTTTTTATTTTGGTGTGGGCATCTTTGATGCTGACTTCTGTGGGTCGCTGAATGCCCTACCTATCTCTTCCCTGCCTGGCTGGCACGTTTTAGCGCCCTTTCCCCACAGCCGACTGATGCCTCTGTCCCGCTGTTGTCAGAGTATGTTGGCCGGTCAGTAGAGCACACATTATAGGCAGTGAAATTGAAAACAGACGGAGCAACTTCAGGCTTTAAACAACTAGTTTACCAAACTCAAAGGTCTTCTCCTCATCGTAATCCTCCTCCAGAAAATGTTCACTGCAAACCCTGGAGTCAGCACCCATCGGAGGGCTCTCTCTCTTCAGAGCCGTTAGCCAGCGCAGCAGTACAGTTTTCCGTTTCAGCGGCAGAAAATGGACTGTTTTGTCCTTGGCTTTGACCCTGTAAAACTCGTTTTTACATCCAGGAGCAATACAATAGTGGCCTCCCTTTTGTCTTCTTCTGTCCTGTGGCTCCTCAATCTCCATCTTCCACTAAGCTACCTGTCTTTCAATGTCTCACTAACTTAACCTCTTTCTATCGCTATCTCTATCTTTCACTAGCTCTGTCTTTCACTGCGCTTTTACTGAACTCAGCCCAGACCCTTTAAAGCCAACCAACCCCGTGACGTCACAGATTATAGTACTGTACAATGGTGGCGCCCTTGCCGCGAAAAATATAAAAATATAATTACTAATAAGTTAATAAGTTAATTTTATTAATAAGTTTCTTTTTTGTTTTATATATTTACATTTGTCATGTTTCTTATATGATTAATGATTATAGTGGAAATCCATCTTGTAAATCATGTAAACTTGACTCAATGCTTCATTTCTCCTTTAAAGGAGCTACAGTAAGTTTTTGATTTTAATAAATCAAATTGTCATTGCCTTATTGTCAATGGGCTCAAAACTCACTTAGAAATGAAGCACACACCTATTTTCTCCGTTGCTTGCATCAGCCACTATTCTGCTTTTAATGTGAGGCCTCCGGGTCGGATTCAGCCAGCTAATGCTACATTAGCTCGGACCTGCCGCTGTTTGCTTTGAAATGTTCAATTTAGATTTATTGCCTTTTACTAATACTCAGGTACACAGCTTCTCCACCTCTCAGTCGCTGTAACTAACATGACCCACATAATATACAACCCAGAGGAAGAGACACTACAGTAAATTTACTTACTGCAGTCTAAGTGTTAAAAGGTGTGACACAATCTCGTTATAATATTCAGTCCAACTCACTACCCGTTTCGTTTTCATCCAATACATTTAGCTGTGCTCACATTGCTGAGCCTCCGGTGAAAGATACACAGATAGTAAATGTAGCGTGTTCACGTATGATTTTTAATAAAATTATGAAATTAATATTTCAGAAATATTGCTTCATAAAGCTCTCGTCGAAGGGCACCACTTAAAGATTTGCTGTCCGCCCAAGGCTTTAGGTCCTTGTATAGCTTGATAATTACACGAATTTCTGGTAATTCATTAGTTATTAATGGTTCAGTTATTCTAAAATCATTAAATTGAATCACTTTCAAATTTAATCAGTCAGTCTCAAATCTGAGGACCCAGGATGCTAAACAATACACACACACAAATCACTATGATCAAGGTGAAATTTATTGACTAACTAAAGGGAGTACAACAGTGTGAGTAAATATGGGAATATTACAGGAATAACAGTCAAACATGAAACAAACCAGAAGGCAATGAACAGAATATGCAATAAGCCAAGATCAGTATAATATGCTCGATGGGATTTCAGTTTGATATTGTAGAGGGAGAATATTCTATGAGAATAAGGGAACGAATGGTCGTGAATTGTGTTGCAAATTTAGTTTAAATAACCTAGGGGTTTCTTAATTACAGATGAGGACCAACTATAGGACACCAACGAGTCTCAGAATGTGGTTTGTTTTGCCTTACTTTTGTCGTAATTCCCCGTAGCAAAGGCTCACTGCCGGTTGGGCTCATTGTTGTTGTCCAGGCCCAGCTGGGCTGGCACCCCAGTGGCGTCTCAAACTGGGTTCAAACCGGTGGATTTGCTCAGGAGTCCTATGCGGGAAAACGCTTGCAGCAACGGGTGGTCAGCCCTGGCTTTGCACTCTGAGTTCGTTTGGTGTCGCTATAGCTCAGTGGAACACACTCCAGACTCGTTGGAGCCATTCAACTCGAGGCGAGGATTGGGTTTCTGGGTCAAAAGTTGCTTAGAACGGTCGGATAATGTTAAAACAACAAAATCAAATAAGACACATACATTCGCTGTAGGTTTGCGAGGCCCCGGGAATATAGGCTATTTAACGTTGCTGAGGAAATTAGGAAACTCTTCAAGATTACTTTCTTATGATTCTCTAGTCTTCAAACATCACTAAAGGATAACAACAGGGTCATTACTACTAAACTAAGAAGCAAATGCCACTAGTAACCTAGCAAGGACTATTATTTAAACAGAACAAAACACAGTTTAAACATTTGTTGGCTCAAGAAGGCAGGGATTTAACATACCTTGGCTTATCACATTTGCACATCAGCTAGAAAAAGAAGAGATTGGTGTTTTATGGCCCCAACCATCCTGTGGGAAAGGAATCAGGGTGAAGCAGGACAGCCTGATACTTTTGATGTCAGGAGGTAACCTGTGGGGGAGAGAGGGGTTGGACAGCCCTCTTGCGGTCCTGCAGAGTGTTTCCAGTGACACCTTTACGGCGAGAGGGGTTTATTAAGGTTCTTGAATACACCAACCTTAAGCGATGCATGTCTGATTGAGTCTATGCAGGTCCTTACCAAAACATCAGGCGATGTCTCTAGTTTTGCATGTCAAAAGGCCAACTCCAGGGGAGGAACCCCACCCCCCCCACACACACACACACTTTGGCAGAATCTGATCTCACCTCCACCTTCAGGTGAGAGGCTGGTTGATCCACTACGTAAAGATAGTTACTGAAAGCAGCAAGAGCTAACGATGCAGCACTTCAGCTACATGTAGTAAAGGTACCGTAATCATGTAATGAGCATGGATTAGTTCAACCTGCAGCTGATAAAACTATTACTGTAAGTAGCTTAGTTACATCTAAGCTACTTTTTATTTTTTTTAATTTTCTAGTATATATATATATATATATATACAGTATAGGCTAGATTATATTGAACCAACTTCATTCCACAGTAGCAAAAGAAGAAAGACTAAAAACCTGCTCCAGGGTGTGTGTGCATGAGAGAGAGCTAAATCAGACACACAGAAACTCTCCAACTTGCTGCCATATCATTGCAGCTGAAAGTGTTGCCTCATGCAACAAACGGAGAACCATTGTTGTTTGTATAAAGTTGTTTAATTATCACATCATTATCATTATTATTGTTTGTTATTTTAATAATTGTTCCTTTGAAAAATTCTACTGCTTGTCAAAAAGCAAGACATATTTTAATGTAATTTCATTGTTTATTAATTTTTTTTTATTGTTATGTGAATTTGTGCTCTGGCAACATTGCAACCTAAACAGCCTAAACATTCATGGCAATAGGCCTGGGAGAGAGAGAGAAATCTCTCATCTCATTCTCATGGAAACAAGCTTCCGCCACTACATATCAAAGTTTCCTCCTCACTAGAGGAAGAGGTGTCCAGGCTGGACCCTGATCATTCTCACAAGAGCTGTTAAAATAACTATCACAATAAAAAGTAAACTCAGTCGTGCGTGTCTTTATTCCCCAGCAGTAAAGTCGCAGACATCAGCCCAAGGATCGTTACGTGATGTCACACGGAAGCGCTTCCGCCTGCTGCACGTTCAGGTCCGTGTGTGGCGGTGGTGTCACTTACTGATCCTTCAGAAATGCTTGTGAAAATGTAGCTTGTGTGGAAGCTACCGTGCTACTCCTTCAATAAAAGAGCTTCGTTACTGAAAAGCTATTTGATTCAGAAAACAGCGACGCTACCGCCAAGCTACTGAGAAATGTAGTTAAACTAGTAATGGCGCTACTTGTAGCGATGCTACTGTCCAACTCTGGTTGTGTGAAGCTCTCCCTGCCTGTCTATAGCCTCTGTCACTCTGCCTTTTTTCCGGGAGGATTTTTCCGAAATGTGGCTAGCTGTGCTGAATGAAGTAACTTTAAATAGCCAGTGTTGAGTTGCCTCTGTGACGGGAACGTTGAAGTAACAGAACCAGAACACGTCTGTGTGAAAAGCCACAGCCTGCATGCTGGTGTTTCTGCGTTTATTGCAGGATTTCTGTATGGAACTGGTTGTGTTTCGGATTATGCTTGATCATGAGTTCAAGCGAGCACGCGTATGAGCACACGCCTGGTTGCAATCGTAAAACCGCACCACTAGTGGCCGCTGGAAACTCTTATAACACATTAGTCA